CTCCCAATCTTTTCATCTGCTAGGTCTTGCTGAGCCCTGGCTCCCCACTGATGACACAGCCTTCCTTTCCAGTACTGGCTGCAACTTCACTCATTGTCTCTGGGTCTAAGGTTAAGGCAGAGGAGTTGGAATACTCTTTGCTCTCCACCGCTGATTCCAAGTTCTCCCTCTTCCTCTATCACTCAGCAAGCTCTCTTCTTCATGATATACATGTCTGACACCCCATCGAAGTCTTGGTAGCTGTTGTCTACAGATCCCTCCCCAGCCTTTCCCCTTCCTTCCTCAACGAGTTTGACACTTGCCTTGTAAATTTTCTCTCCTCCCCAACTCCTGCCTTCATACTAGGGGACTTTGACATACATATTGATTCTCTCTCAAATATTCTAATCATTCAGTTCCTCAACCTACTCACCTCTCATGAGCTACTCCTCCACTCCATATCAACCACACACAAAGATGGTCATACCCTTGATCTTACCATCAACTACAAATGTATCACCTCCATATTTATGAATTCCAAAATCCCTTTATCCAACTATAATCTATCAGCTTTTTACGTTTTCCTCTGCCTACCCTCACATAACCCTACTTTTCATCCTATCCACGACCTCCAATCCCTTGACTCCTTAATTCACTCCCAAGTCCATCTCCCCTGCTACGAGCCACTCTCTCCTCTTCTCCCCATCTTGACTCCTTGGTGAATGAGTTCAACTCTACACTGTCCTCCTCCCTTGAAACTCTAGGCCCCTTATATCACTGATTACATCCAGCCAAGCCTCAGTCTTGGATCATTTCTTCCATTTCCTGCCTTTGTTCCCACATACATGCTACTAAATGAAGGTGTAGAAAATCTCTCAACCATTATGACGAGGTCCACTACCAATTTATGTTACACAACTCAGCTGGGCTCTCACTGCTGCTAGGCAATCCTACTATACTTCCCTTATCAACTTGCTCCCTCGCTTCACACAGCAGCTATTCCAAACTTTTTCATCCTTCCTTAAAACTTCCCATGGCTTCCTCTCCCATTCTCTCTCAGCTGAGAACTTTGCCTCATATTTTACAGAGAAAATTGAAGCCATTCTCTGTGAGCTCCCTTTTCCTCATCTATCACTCGAGTGTCTTTTTCACCACTTTCTCCTCCTTCATCTTCATCTCACACAGTGGAACGACCTTGCTCCTCACCAAGGCTACCCCTCGGCTTATTCAAGTGATCCCACTCCACTCCCCCTATCATCCCCACTGTGACTTATTGTCAATTTCTCCCTTTCTTCTGGTTCATTTCCTACCATCTCCAAACATGCTCATGTCTTCCCTATTCTGAAAAAACTCCCACTTGATCCTTTCATCATTGCTAACTATCATCCTATTTTTCCTCTACCTTTTCTACTAAACTCCTCAAAAAGAGCTGTCTACAGAAAAGGACAATGACAAATGTTGGAGGGAATGTGGGAAAAATGAGACACTAATGCACCATTGGTGGAGTTGTGAACCGATTCAACCATTCTGTAGAGCAATTTGGAACTATGCCCAAAGGCATATAAAACCATACATACATATCCTTTGACCTAGCAATACCACTAGTAGATCGGTATCCCAAAAGAGATAAAAAACCAAAGAGGAAAAGGACCTATATGTACAAAAATATTTATAACAGCTCTTTTCTGGTGGCAAAGAATTAAAAATTGAAGGGATGCCTATTAATTAGGGAATGGCTGAACAAACTGTGGTATGTGATTATGATGGATTATTGTGTCATAAGAGACAATGAGCAGGATGCTCTCAGAAAAACCTGGAAAGACGTACCTGAGCAGATACAAAATGAAATGTACTATGTACAAAGTAACAGCAATACTGTAGGATTATCAGCTGTGAATGACTTAGCTATTCTCAGCAATACAGTGATTCAAGACAACTCTGAAAGACCTGTGATGAAAAATGCTACCCATCCCCAGAGAAAGAACTGATGATGTCTGGATACAGACTGAAGCATACTTTTACTTTATTTTTGAGGGGTTTTTTTTTTTTTGGTCTATGCTTTCTTTCATAACGTGACTAATACAGAAAGGTTTTACATGAATACACTTGTACAACCTATACGGAACTGCTTGCCTTCTCAATGAGAGAGGTGGTGGGGGAGAATCTGTTTTTACATGTAATGGGAAAAATAAAATACTAAAAATTCCTAAAAATAGGTACCTTCACCTTCTCTCCTCCTACTCTTAACCCCTTAAAATTTGGCTTCCAACCTTATTATCCCACCAAAACTGCTCTCTCCCAAGTTACTAATGATCTCTCAGCTGCCAAACCCAATGGCCTTTTCTCAATCCTCATTCTCCTTGACCACAATGCTACCTTTGACACTGCTGGTTCACCGTTTCCTCCTTGATACCCTCTCCTCTGCCTACCTCAAGTCTCTCCCCACTCCAATCCATTCTCCACTCAGTCACTCAAATGGTTTTCTTAAAACACATGTCTGAAGTCCACTTGCTCATCATTTCTTATAACACAATAGTATTCCATTACATTCATATACCACAACTTGTTCAGCCATTCCTCAACTGATGGGCATCCCCTCAATTTCCAATTCTTTGCCACCACAAAAAGAGCTACTTTAAATATTTTTGTACATGTGGGTCCTTTTCCCATTTGTGTGATCTCTTCGGGATACAGCCCTAGAAGTGCTATTGCTGGGTCAAAGGGTATGGATATTTTTTTTTAAGGCAATTGGGGTTAAGTGACTTGCCCAGGGTCACACAACTAGTAAGTGTCAAGTGTTTGGTCTGAGGCCGGATTTGAACTCAGGTCCTCCTGACTTCAGGGCCGGTGCTCTATTCACTGTGTTACCTAGCTGCCCCTGGTATGCACATTTTTATAGCCCTTTGGGCATAGTTCCAAATTGCTCTCCAAAACAGTTGGATCATTTCATAACTCCACCAACAATGCACTGGTGTTCCAATTTCCTCACATTTTCCCCAACATTTATCATTTTCCTGTTTTGTCATGTTGGCCAGTCTGATAGGTGTGATGTGGTACCTCAGAGTTGTTTTGATTTGCATTTCTCTAATCAATAGTGTAACAGCCACGGTGTGCGATGATTAATGTTGATAGACTTAGCAGCCCTTCTCAGCAATGCAAGGATCTAACACATCTCCAAAGGTCTCATGATGGAAAATGCTATCCACAAAAAGAACTACAGAGTTTGAATGCAGATTGAACCATGCTATTTGCTCTTTTTTTCTTCTGTTTTGTTTTGTTTCCTCTTTCTGGTGGTTCCTCCTATTGGTTCTAATTCTTTCTTTCAACATCACCAATGTGAAAATATGTTTAATAGGAATGTATATGTATAGCCTATATCAGATTGCATGCTGTCTTGGGGAGGGAGGTGTGAACGGAGTGGGAGAAAAATTTAAAACTCAAAAGCTTATGGAAATGACTGCTGATAAATCAAAATAAATTAATAAAACAAAAACAAACCAAAAAACCACAGGTCTGATTACATTACCCCCTATTCAATAAACTCTAGCTTCTCCCTATTGCCACCAGGATCAAGTACAAATACTCTGTTTGGCATTCAAAGCCCTTCATAACCAGCTCTCCAGTCTTCTTATACTTTACTCTCCGTCAATCCAGTGACACTGGAACAAACTCTCCAACTCTCAGCTCTGGGCATGCTTGATGGCTGTCCCCCACTGCCTGGAATGACCTCCCTGGCTTCCTTTAAGTCCCACAACAATCCCACTGCCTACAGGAAGCCTTCTCTAACTCCTCTTAACTCCAGAGCCTTTTCTGGTATTTATCTCCTATTTATCCTGTATAGAACTTGCTGTTTGCATGCTGTCTTTCCCATTAGATTGTGGGCTCTCTGAAGGGAGGGACACTTTTTTTTTTTGGCTAGGCAATGGGGTTAAGTGACTTGCCCATGGTCACACAGCTAGTAAGTATCAAGTGTCTGAGGCCGATTTGAACTCAGGTCCTCCTGAATCCAGGGCTGGTGCTCTATCCACTGCGCCACCTAGCTGCCCCGAGGGACAGTCTTTTGCCTTTTTTTTTTTTTTTTATTCCCAGCACTTAGAACAGTGCCTGGCACACCGTAGGTGCCTAATGTTTATTGAACAAATGAAAGTGTAACCAAAATGGCTCAAATTCATTTCCATAAATTACTCTGATGAATCTTGTCAAGATCACAGACTCACCACCAACGACTTTCTCTCCCATCAAGAGGCAGCATGGTATAGCAGAAAGAGCTGGGGCTTAAGATTCAGGACCTCAATGAACTTGTGTGACCTTGGTCAAGTCATTTAACTTTGGCTAGCCTCAGTTTCCTCTTCTGTGAGATGAGGTCAATAATATTTGTACTACTGTGAGTTATGATACACATGGCACATCAGTTTTTGAGTCGTATTTGTACATATTAGATCCTCTAATCTTAACAAAGACCTTCTAGGTTGGGAGGGCCGATATCATTTTACCCGTTTTACAAATAAAGAAACAGAGCCACGTGGCTGACCAGCAGCAAAATGAGGCTTATCTCCCTGAGGAAACTGGAATCCAAGTCATGAATGACAGCAGCCGGTGAGCACAGACTGCAGTACCAGGTCAGCCTGGTTCTGTGATTTAACAAGAGGCATAGGCCAAGCTTGGCCCTCCCATGGTTCCTGTGCATTCTGAGATTGGGCTGCTTGCAAATAGAACAGCACTTATAAGAGAACTTACCTGAAATGGAGTCAGCATTATTAAGCTGGTTCCTATTTGAAATAGGATTTTCTTTCATTTTACTCACATCTCTGGTCCTTATCCACTACCCAGCACATACAACAACACAGCTACTCTGGCAAATTGTGGGTCAATAATATGAGCTGGCCAAAGTTCCTGGTCAAGTGCCAAAAAGAGTTCACCCACACTCTCATGGTGTATTGCACACAACCCACAATGGGCTGCCAAAGATTATGGACATTCAGCCAAATGTATAAGCCAAAGGAGTTCATTTTTTACTTAAATCAAGGACATTTTTATTTACATTAAATTACAGTGTGCTCAAAACATGTATAAGTCGCTGTACCCCTTCCCCTAACAAATGTAAAAAAAAGTCCTTGCCCTCTTCTCTCCTCCAGCCAGTTCAGCCCCCGCTGCCTTCCACACATGCTCAGCCCCCTGCTGGGTGACCCTCAGTCCTCTTCTTTCTCAATGTAGGTTTTGGCACCACACCGCGCCATCTGCCTGGCCAAGTAGCGGTCTCGCGCTGACGTCACGGTCTCTTTGCTGCTGCGCTTTGCAAACTTGCTCTGAGTCTCAGGCGGCTTCTCCCCTCCTTCTCCTCCCCCCTCTTGCTGGTGCTTTGGGCCCTGGGTTCCTTTGGGGCTGGAGGCCCTCTCCGTGTTTCCCCCCTCGCTGGAGCCTTCCTCCCCACGTGGCCTGTCCTGTACCCCAGAACCTGAGCTCGGCCCCTCCCTCTCTGAAGGCCCGGTGCTCAGCTCCTTGTCTCTGCTTTTCTCATGCTGGTGTTTCTTTCTCTCGGCACGGCCTCTGCCTCCCTCTCTCGCCTCCCTCTCCTCATCGCGCTGGTCTTCACTATTTCTCCGCCTGGCTCTTTCTCGATCCCTGGGGGGCTGCTTCTCCCACTCCTCCTCCCGCCTGCGCTCTCGGCTGTCAGTCCTCCTCCTCTCTCTTCTCTCTTTTCCTCTCTCTCTCTCTTCCGGTTCATGCCTCCTCCGGGAGTACTCTTTACTGCTGTCTTCCCTGGGCCTGTGCTGAAACGTTTTTTCTTTCTGGCGACCACCATCAATGGGACATTTGTTCTGCTCCCTGACCTGGCTTTCATGTCCGCGGTCCTGATGCTGGTCACCTCTGTCCCTCACTGCTGGATCACTGCCTCCTGCCTTGGAGCCCCTGGTGTGGCCCTTGTCATACTGGCCTCTGTCCTCCCCTGAGGAGCTGGAGTGGGCGTGGCTCCTGCCACTCTTGCAGTTCGAATGACTCTTGTCTGCCATTTTATCATCTTCTTCGCTGCTGTCCACATCAATGTCGCTGTCTGCATCAGGGTTTTCCTCTTCTTTCACTCTGGCTTTGGGTACATCTCCATCATCTGGGACCCCGTTGTCTGGATTTAATTCATCAGAATAGCCCCGTGGCTTCTCCTCTTTTATCCTAGAGCTTTAGAAAAATGAATAATTACAAAATGAAATCACACTGTCAGCTGCAGAAGAAATGAAGGGCTCACGTACTTTCTCTCAGTCCTGAAATCATTCCTCCGAAGAAGACCTGTTGCTTTCTGTCTCTACAAATGTGACTAAGGAGGTGGGGGAGGCACGTGCCCAAGCCACTTCATAAGTTAATGTCTACAAGGCAGCAGCACCCTCTCTTCCAAACAATCAATGCTTATTAAGCTGAAGAAGGAGGAATGATCCTTCTTCTCCGTATGGGCCACTCACTAGTGTACTGGTCCTCAGAGTTTCTGTGAGGCACAAAAATAAAAAAACTCATTTGGAAAAGGTATTGGCTTCTATTTATAATTTCATGAGCTTCACAAAAGAGATTTCAGAGCATGGGGGGGGAGGGCAGTAAAGTAAATAGGATTAAGTCTTAAAAATGGGATTTCATATCAGTAGCAACAAAATTACATAAAAATAAGATTTTCACAACAAGATCCCATATCCGGTCATGACACTGTGCCTTTGCTAAGTCTACCCTCCTTGTGGCAGAGCAACACCAGCTTCCTGATATAGTGCTCAGTATTTATTAGAACAAAGCAGGAAATGTGTGGTGCAAGCATGTACTGATATTAAAATTGAATTAAGCTAAAATAATTTCCAGTTTTACGTTTTCACAGCTGATAAGTGTGGTGGATTTACTTACATTACCCACAAGTTCATTTTCAGTAATCACACTGATACAGTAACAGTTTGTGGTTATCCAGGAATTGCTGGGAGGGTGACCAGGGCAAAAGGCCTTGCTAGCAGTTTAGAATACTATTATTAAGTTCAGAGAAATGGGTGTGGGATTTCTCAGCCAGCTTCAGTCAACTTCTGGATGAAACTCATAGGAAGGTCAGAATGTAGTACAAACCCCATTCAGGATTTGTCTTTCCAAATACACTTTCTTAAACTCCAACTTCTCCTGGAAGCAGACATTAAAGCACTGGGGGAAAAGGCCGACACAGAATCCAGTCTGGTTCTCTGCCTGCATCCAGACTCTGGCCTTCTGAACAGTGCGGCCGACCAGGAGAATAAGCTGGTTTAAAGATAGTTTCATGACAAACTCTCCTCTTCAACCGTATCTACACGATTAGGAACACAATCACTTATTGCTCTCATACACACCTACAGCTGAGTTTGGTGTTGTACAAGAGACCCGCATTCTTGATCACAAAGAGGACCTTCACCAGTAGACAGACATACACAGGCCACTTCTTTATTTAGGACAAATCACACTAATATGACATCTGCCTCTTCATATTACAAATGAACAAATCAAAGTTGTTTTGGTGGCTTTCTGAGGTCAGCAGCATGGCTAACTGGACAGAGGGTGAAATATTTGGTTTAGGAGGCCAGGTTCTAACCCATCTCAGAGCTTAATCTCTATGAACTCTGGTTTCACTGATGATAAAGTAGGGAAAATAACAGCAAGAATCCTCATTACCTCCACCATGGAGTGTCAGAAGACAACACTTCACAACCTTAAAGTGCTGCGGAGATGTGCCATAATTATTATTAATCTCAGTAAAGCCACCGTCTTCCAATGGAGGTTTCTCACCTCCTCCTCACTGTCCTCCATCCAAAGCACAAAGATACTCACTCAGAAGCTCAGTCACACAAAAATTAAATTCTCATTTCACACCTGCTTTCGTTTGTAGTGACGCCAAACCTCCTGGCAATGAATTGATGCCAACGACTCTCTGGCCTGCTCAATGTCACAGCTGCCAAGTGAGAATGATCCTATACAAGTCCCTTCAGGACTAAGTAATGGACCCTTCTCAGAGTTTCAAAGTGAGAAGAATGGGTGCAGATGACTTGGCCTGGGTCACACTAGAGCATGTATGCTGTGAGCGATAGGAGGACCCTCCGAGGAGCCCCATAAAGTGACTATTAGAAACCCTCCACTGCACCTCCCCAGAATCTGTGGCTGCAGTGGCTGCCTACCTGGTTTCCCGAAGGCTGCATTCAGGCACTTCCTCTTCTCCAACCGTTTGATTTAAAAGGTGCCTATAAAATCCACTGAGATCTTTCTGCTTGGTTACATCCAGACGAGCTAGGCAGAACCAAAAACACACTATGATCAATGGTGTGACAATAATTGACTCACAGAAAGAGCTCCGGGTCTATAAAGCGGTTTCTTAACAACGCTGTGAGAAAGGCCGGGCAGGATTAGCATCCTTATTTTACTGAGGAGGAAATCGAGACTCCAAGAACTCAGGCAACTTTCCTAAGAAGGTCAAACAGCCCATAAGTGGCTAAGGGGAGATGCAGACCCAGGTCTTTATGTCCAATGTACAGATTCGGAAAAGAGAGGCAGGATGGGGCAGCGGAAAGGACACTGAGGCCGCGTGTGCTCTGTGGCTAAGTCACCCAGGCTTAGTTTCTTCAACTCTAAGACAGAGATAATGAGACTATTCGCACACTCCTTCAAGGAGTTGTTGTGAAAACAGGACTTTTCTGGGGATAAAATATAAAGATTTCTCCACTGTTTGTGAAGCCTGGCTTCTACTCAAGAGGAAGAGACAAAAGAGGCGGAGGCAGCATCCCCTGCTACATGAATGAGACAGAATCTAACTAGGTCACAAGAAGTGAGGACCAGGAGAGATGTGGAAGACCTCTATGAAACGATACAGAGGGAGGGCAGCAGAAGCGAGTGAATGACCAGGGCACCACCACATCACGGGAGTAGATACAATCCGGAAAGAGCTCAGAAGTCTGGCCGGAGCAGGGGCCTATCCTGACCTCGAAGGACTAGAATCCAGACCCACCCAAGGCCGACGTGCTGATTGCACATATGGGCTTCTACCTGGGGGGAGGAGGGAAGGTGGGCAAGGATGAAGAAAGGCACCAAGAAAACTTGTGAAAGGTGCACAGGAAAGGGATGAGTACCAAGAGGACACAAACAAAACAATCTATTACTACTCTGTTAGGTTGGTGCTGGGGTGTGTGTGTGTGTGTCTGTGTGCTGGGGGGAGATATTTTTTTAAAACTGTGACAGAAATTCACCACTTCTTCTACAGGTCCACTTCTCTGCTCTTCATGTCTTGAAGTATTTGCAAGTTTTGCATTAATGATAAAAAGGGACATCTGGAGCAGTGTGCTGCCAGGTACTGACCCCAAAGCCGCATCCCTCGCTGGTGGGCGGCTTGCTCCGGTTTTCTCCTCCCTCCCTCCCTCCGCACCTGGCCCGGCCCTCGATGCTCACCCTCCAGGGCAGCGGCTCTCCTCTCTCTTTCTGCTTCCTCAGCCCTCTCCTGAAGTTTCTTCTTGTAAGCAGATGTCACAAATGCCTCTTTATCATCAAATTCTCCCTTTTCCATTTCTCGTTCTCTCTGAATTTTCTTTTCCATTCTTTTCTCTTGCTCTTTTTTTCTTATCTCAACTGCTTTTAGTAGGCTGTGGATGTACTTAGGCTAAAAGAAAAACATGTAGATTGCTTAAAGGAGTGCCAAAGATACTTCTCATTAATATCTAATTATGATAATAATAATAGCTAACACACGAATATAGTGCCTACTATGTGTCAGGCACTGTGCTAAGTGCTTTACAATTATTATCTCCTCGGATCCTGGAAGGCAGGTGCTATTCTTGTTCCCGTTTACAGATAAGGAAACTGAGGCAAGCAGAGGTTAAATGACTTGCCCAGGGTCACACAGCTAAGAAGTGTCTGAGGCTGGATCTGAACTCCAGCCAGGAGGGAACAGAAATGATTAGATAAAAGAAGGAATTTTAAAATGGCTCATTAAGGTTGAAATTAGAATTACATTTAATGAAAAGCTGAATCTAGAAGGAGATGATATAGACTACTGCTATCTCTTCTGCTCTAAGAACAAAATGCATTTCATGTTTTGTGTGTCATCTTTATCTCTTTTGATTATTCTTCTCCTCCCAAATATGCCACTAAACATAAAATCCATAAGCCAATGCTGTTATTTAGGTTAGTGCATTTAGTGGAGACATTTTTAACAGCATCTCTCTATACCCCCAAAAGTATTGGAAAATACAGCCACAAATAGAAATATATACTTTTTCATAGGTTCTTTAAAAATCCAAATGTTTTTATAGAAAATCAAGCAGATAATCTGTGTAAAATAAATTTTAAATACTCCAATTCTCCTTTCTCTCCCTTTTCAATTTGGCGTTATGGGGCCTAGTGTCTATGAGGGTTGCAGACAAAGCCTTCTGTTTCTTATAATGGGAATAAATAAGCAAGCTGTAGAAATTGTGAAGAGGATCAATATAAATTTTCTAAATAGACTGTTTGGGGGTGGGTGGGGTGATTATTTGCAAGCTGTTACAGCAAAAATCAATATTTTCACAATAAATTATTAGAAATAGTGAGTGGTTATTCTTAGAACAGCATGTTATATGGCTACTTGAGTGCCAAAAAAATTGGAGTATCTAGAATTAGAGGGCTTTATGAATATTAAGAAATTAGAAGTTTTTTTTATTTTATTCTTAGCAATAAGATTATTTTTTTTTTGAGGGGGGTAGGCAATTGGGGTTGAGTGACTTGCCCAGAGTCACACAGTTAGTAAGTGTTACGAGACTAAGGCTGGATTTGACCTCAGGTTCTCCTGACTCCAGGGCTGGTGCTCTATCCACTGTGCCACCTAGCTGCCCCAGCAATAAGATTTTGATGGAAACACATAGCTTTACTAATTCTAAGTATGATTGCAAAGATCATGTCAACCAAAGCATAAACACAGAAATACCATGAACCTAAAAGAAATAGTAAGCATTTAGAAGTAGGCCACAGAAAAATCTCTATTTTCAAACACCAACCTGTCTGTCTTTTACTAAAAGCAGTTTAGGATTACTTTCTTCCTTCTTCCTCTGCATTTCATCATAAATACTGTCATATTCATACACAGTGGCATCTTCTGCTAGGGCTTTCTGGATTTCAAGTTTGGTCTGTTAATAAAACGAAAGAAAAAGGTAAAAAAAAAAACTCCACGGTAAACATCAATTTTATCTTATACATTTTACCAAACTCTCATGGGCTGTCCTAGCCAAAGAATTCATTACCTAGTGGCCGGCTTCCTCTGCTGGTCACGAGCACCTTCACACTGACACGTGGAGAACATCTCCACATTAACGAGGTCACAGATCCCTATAAAGATTGAATTAGTCTCGCAGGATCCATCAAAGATCTAGGGCAGACGGGACTTCAGGGCCCCTCTTGTCCAGCCTCCCTTTTTAGAGTAGAAGAATCTTAGACATGAAGAGGTTGAACAACTAGCCCAGGATCACAGAGACACTAAGTGTCAGAGCCAGGACTTGAACTCGTGTCTCTGACTCCACGCCCAATACATTCTCCATTACACTCCTCCACGTGCACTATCATCAGATTTAAAGCTGAAAGGGACCTCAGAAATAGCAAGTGAGTAGTTATTTCAGTCCCTTCATTTTACAGACCTACAAAACAAATCAAAGTACACTTTGATACTTGGTGGCTTCAATGAAAAGGTGGGAAAAGGTCAGTAAATCCATGGGAAAGTCTGGCTCAGGAGAAGTAAACGAGAGAGGCCAAAGACTTGTAGATTCATACGAATATGTTCTCAAAAAAAAAAAAAAAGGGAATCGGTAGGTTCTACCAAACAACATAAGAAAGAATGAAATTGTCCATATCTTAAAAGATAAGAAAAGAGATGAGAGATATCAGTTGTCTATGCACAGTCAGTCCATCGGACTCATCAGAGTTAAAGCCAGAATGTATAATAAATAAGGACGAGTAATAAGAAAAATATATGACATACAATGATGATTTAACCTTAAATTAATCAAACAAACTACTGAAAACTTAAAATGGGAAAGGGACAACAAAAATGATACTGACACCAATTATAATAATTTTATCCAGAAGTTAAACTACTATAAATTAATTGCTACAAGGAGAACAAAAGAACCTAGAAAGTGCCTTAGCAAACATTTGACTCACTGGCCAAAAACAGTGAAATATCTGCCAAAGGCAGTAACAAGTTAGAAAATAAGCTCACCTACACAGCCTTACAAAGAAGGATGATCAGTTATGAGAAGTATCATCTCATAAAGCAGAGAGGAGAAGTGGAGGGTAAAACCAATCTAAAGAAAGATTGGCGAGATAATCAACTAAGCAAAGTCATTCCAAGGGCATTCAAGGGTAAGAATGGAAAGAAGTCTACCAAACAAAAAATAGAAAAGATCTGCTTTACAGATTTTTTTTTACAAAATTTGCAAAAAACAATTTTTTTACAAAATTATTACAGCAAACTGTTTTCTCTATCAAGAACAGTGAAATCAACACACAAATCCTAGCACCACAGTCTCTGACGTACTTACAGAAGAAACAGAAACATCAACAAGAAGAACAAAGAGGGAAAAAGCAGTCAGATTAGCTCAAGCATTTATAAAGATCCTTGTTGAAGATGATAAAGTCGTGAGAGCATGGAAGGACTGATTTACAAGATATTTTAAGGAGATTAACAAAATCATGGTGGGGGAAATTAGACCTTACTGATTCCAACACAACCATTGAGTTATATGCTCATTACTCTTTCATCTATGGAGAATCTTTATGTGGGTCATCTGTACATGAAGCAAGGACATCCTCAATGAAAGCACGACTAGGAAACAAGCAGGCTTTTACAAATAATATTCAACAATGGAACACATCTTTATCAGCTCATAATAACTAAATAGAGAATTTAAGATCTCATTGTGCTTACTATTTATTAGAAAAAAGCATTCTACTTGGTGTCTCTTGTGGCAAAATGTCTCCCATCTGTATAGCAGGATCATTTAAGATTTCTTGGAAGATATAACAACAGAAATCAACATGTTCAATGGCCCTCTATAATAAATATCAGGCAAGCATAAAACAGAGAGATGTGTGCTCACCAGAAGTATCTGCCACAGGGATGGAGGGGATAAAGGGCAGAGACTGGGCTGAAGAGGGATTCTTTGTGACTCTTTTAGATGTTCCTCTTTGTAGAAGACATTATCTTGATTTCATCAAGCTCCATCACTGCAAAGCCTCCTGGAAGAGATCTGTAATCATTCAAAGGAGTTGGGCCTGACCATCCACACAGTTAAGACTAAATGGATGAAGAATGTGTATTGCCTAGATTTAGAGCTTGTCCAACAGTATGTATATTTGGGACTGACAACACAGATAGACAATTAGTTGAGCCCAGAGTTGAAAGGAGAAGGGTGGGCTAGACTGCTTTGAGAAAATTACAAAAAACTTTTTACTGACCCTAAACTTCCCAAAACTGCAAAGGCCCATGTTTTCAAAACAAAACATTTTACAGGTGTTGTTATATAGCAGCAAAACCTGGAACGGCACATGTCTCTGAATCACTAAAGATGAACATCATACAGAGGGCAATGGAAAGGATGTGAGAAGTCTGCAACATAACCAATGAGGAACTCCAAAGACTAGGAGTAAAAGATGTCATCGAAGACTGTATGACAGAAAGTGAAGATGGGCCGGTCATGTGTTGAAGGAGAAGAATGACAGGTGGATAGTCAGAGCGCTCCACTGGCAGCCCTTTGGTGTTGGGAGAAAGGAAGACCACCTCCTTGTTGGGTTGGACCTCCTATGATGAGCTTTTATTCTAGAGTCTCCTTCTAGATTCAACTTTTCACTGAATACAGCTCTAATTCCAATCGGAATGGGCATTTAATCATGGCTTAGGATCACAGATTTCCAGCTAGAAGGGACTTAGCTGTAAGTCCAACCCCCTCATTTTACAGTGCTTATCCTATCTAGTTGGACTAAGAGTTTTTATTTCCTCTTGGCCCATGAATAAAAGTACTAAAAGATGTTAATGAGAAATATCTTTTATAACTCTTTAAGTAATGGATGAGATTCCCTCAGTATGGGGAGGTATGAATGATTTGCAATCTGTGTCATAATAAGTAGCTCCCAAATTGATGAAACCATGGATGGATTCATTTGAGTATGAGTAAATCAATTTAAATGTTACAAAAATAAAAAAGGGAATTAAATACATTTTGATTTTTATTATTTCCTAAACTTATATATATTTAAAAATAAAATCATGGTATTTTACAAGAGACAGCATTAAAACTGGCAAAAATCTTGTTTTTGGAGTTAAAGTAGAATTTAAATCTTGGCTCTGCTACTTACTATGGTATGTCCACAGGCAAATCATTCCCCATCTCTGGGGAACACAGTGGATACAGTGACAATTTGGAGCCAGGAAGACCTAAGATCCAAACCGCAGACACTAACTGGCTATGGAACCCTGGGCAAGTCACTTAGCTTCTTTCAGTCTCAGCTTCCTCATGTAGAAAAAAGGGAATATACCATTTACCTCACAAGGATGTTGTGAGGATCAAGTGAGATAATATATGTAAAGTGCCTTGCAAATCTTAAAGGTACTATAATACTCATAAAGTAACATAGTATAATAATATAAAATATTATAATACTTACAAGTATTAACTATTGCTATAATTACTGTGGTCTCTGAGCCTCAGGTTTTGAATCTGTAAAATGATTATGGTGATTCCAGCTCTAAACCTATGATCCTATGAGAGGTGTCAGAAAGGAGAAGTATCCATCAGGACAAGTAATCAATTAGGACTGAAATTGTGCAAATTTGTGTGAAAAAAAATTCTAGCCTAAAATTTAATTTTTTATGAACTTAGGAAGAACATTCATCTGCTTGTAAATTTAAAACTGGGTACCTGCATTTAATAACTAAAAAGAAATTCAATTAAGTATATTGTGAAAACATAGCTCTGGCTTTATTACAAACCAGTAATTCAGGATTTTATAATGTTTATGATAAATCAAACTGACTCTATATACCATTTTTCAGTAAGTACAGTGACATATATCCAGACCTGTGGCACAACAAGGCACTTGCAGGATTCTAATGTAACTTGTTGTCTTGGGACAACTTGTAATTTAGTACACTGTGGCTGAAAGCAGAATTTCGGCACTTTAAGGACCTCTGTGTCTTTGCTTGTGCTACTTCTCCTGCCTGGAATGTTTTTTCCCTCTTCTTCTTCTCTGGCTAAATTCCATCCATCTCTCCAGGCCCAGACTTGGGAACCACCTCTTCTCTGAGGGGTTCTCTGTCTACACAAATCTACAATGATCTCTCTCCTCTCTTCTCTCCCCTCTGAAGGCTTCTGGTTCTTAAGACACTACATCACATACTTATCATGTGATTAGCTTATTCTAACTGTTTAATGTATATTAAGCTAACTCTCCAATGAAAGTGAAATGCACACAGAGATCTATTACCTCATCAATTTCTACCCCCCCCCCCCAATAATGCAGACTGTAAGCTGCTCATGTGAGCTTTGTCTATATCCTTCCTACAGGGAAGAAGAGAGGCGCATCTATCTAACATGCTGGGGACCTTACTTGCCTTCTACCAACATCACAAGTGTACCAGTGGAGCACATGCTCTTCCCATGTGGCCAGTCATCTTCTTTTTCACTCCTACATCACCCCAGTGATATCTTTTATTCCAATTCTTTGAAACTTCTCATTTGTTTCATGGGTGCAGCCTTCTCACACTTACCATGCACTTAACTCATTGTCCTCTGTGCAGTATTCATTTGCAGCTTATTGGAGGCTCTGGTGTGCCATGAGTCCTAGCCATACAACCCTGGTGTAGAACTCAGGCATTTAAAAGATAGGCCTTTGTTTCTCGGAGAAATCTGGGGTCACTAAAAGATCTTTGCAATTCCTGAAAGCTATCCAGTCAATTGACCTTTTGTTCATTCATGGGTCCACATCCAGGCATGGCTCTCTATCCAATTATAAATAGATAAATAGACAGATACAGATAGGCAGATATAGATATCGATTGATGGACAAGCTCTATAGGCTATCTAACTGCAAGTGATAATCTTGGAAACAGACATTCTTCATCATTGGTTTTTTACAG